GCTCCAGGTGTGCTCCAGGTGAGCCCCAGGTGTGCTCCAGGTGAGCTCCAGGTGTGCTCCAGGTGTGATCCAGGTGAGCTCCAGGTGAGCTCCAGGTGAGCTCTGGGTGTGCTCCAGGTGTGATCCAGGTGAGCTTCAGGTGAGCTCCAGGTGTGATGTTCCTGAGCAAGCCCCACCTGCCCCGGGGTTGGGACCCCCCCAGGTGCTCCCCCCTGTCCTGGGGGGATTTTGTGTCTCCACAGTGTGGGGAGGGGGGTGGGGGAGACCCCCCAGATCCTGGGAATGATGGGAGGGGGACACACCCAGGGACAGGAGGACACAGGGACAAGTGACAGCTTTTCCCACCTGCCTGGAGAGGTCACCTGAGCTCACCTGAACTCACCTGGGATCACCTGAACTCACCTGGTCCCACCTGCCTGGGGAGCTCACCTGGGATCACCTGAGCACATCTACATTCACCTGGGATCTCCTGGGCACACCTGGGCTCACCTAAAGTCACCTGGGATCACCTGGGCACACCTGGTGCCACCTGGGATCACCTGAACTCACCTGGTCCCACCTGGTCCCATGGGAACTCACCTGGGATCACCTGAGCTTGTCTGGGATCACCTGAACTCACCTGAGCTCACCTGGGCACACCTGGGATCACCTGAGCTCACCTGGGATCACCTGAGCTCACCTGGGCTCATCTGCACCCACCTGGGATCACCTGAGCTCACCTGGTCCCACCTGGGCTCACCTACAGTCACCTGAGCTCACCTGGGATCACCTGGTCCCACCTGGTCCCACCTGAGCTCACCTGGGATCACCTGAGCTCACCTGGGATCACCTGGTCCCACCTGGTCCCACCTGAGCTCACCTGGGATCACCTGGGCACACCTGGGATCACCTGAGCTCACCTGAGCTCACCTGGGCACACCTGGGATCAGCTGGTCCCACCTGGATTCACCTGGTCCCACCTGAGCTTAACTGGGACGACCTGAACTTGTCTGGGCTCACCTGGTCCCACGGGAGCTCACCTGGTCCCACTTGGTCCCACCTGAGCTCACCTGGGATCACCTGGGGATCACCTGGTCCCATCTGATGCCACCTAAGCTTGCCTGGGCTCACCTGGTCCCACCTGGGCTCACCTGGTCCCACCTGGGCTCACCTGGGATCACCTGGGCACACCTGAACCCACCTGGTCCCACCTGGGCTCACCTGGGCACACCTGAACTCACCTGGTCCCACCTGGGCTCACCTGGTCCGTGTCCTGTCCCAGATTCGGTCGAGGACGTGCTCGGGGATCTCCTGGGATTCGATGGTGAGGTGGGACCCTCTGGATCCGCCCTGGGAGCACCTGGGGGGGATCACCTGGGGGGGAATCACCTGAACTTGGGATCACC